GGAATGAACTGAGCTTCTGGAAAAGAGATAGCATATTAAGTTAACTCAAATCAACCCACTTTACAAAAAATGTCATTTTTCTAAATAATTTAAAAGCAGAATTACCACCAGGTGCTTTACATGATGTTATGCCCCACGTGATTGTCTTGACACCACAAACCAGGGTTTTTACCAAACTCCGGCAATCTGTGACTTGGAATGTCTGCTTGTCTTCCTTATCCTTTTCTCCTTGCTTCTCAAAGGGAGGCACAGGGGCTGGGGTTACAGGGGTGGCAGGGGTAGGGGGAGGGGGTGGAGGCTGGGCTGGGGTGGGGACGGGGGCTGGGGAGGGAGCAGGACCCGGAGCTGTGGGGGCAGTCGGCACCCCAGGCAGAGCTGCTTCCACAGCTCCAAGTTCTGACTGAGGCTTGCACTTCTTAAAAATGGCTGAGAGCTGGTACCGAGCAATGGTGTGGAACTTGAGAACAAAAACCTAATGGAAAGAGAAGTCAAGGGGAAGAAAACGATCATTCCTCTTCAGTAGCCCAAGCAATCCTTTCCAATGACAGAAAAATAAGATGTCACTGAAACCACCTGAAGAAGTCCTCCTTCTGTGTGAAGAGTCTGGTTCGAGAAGGCTGAGTGACTGACCTGATCAGCAGGGCCTGGATTTCACCCAGGACTGCAAGACTCATTCCTCCAGGGCCCTACCACCATACACTGTCCTTGGGAATTACACTTTACTCCTCACCTAGGTACTCACCCAGGTCTCCCCAGAGAGGTCCACGGCTTATTTAGCACTTAGCTACTATAACCTCAGAAATAACTCTCCCGATGACTTGCCAGGAAGTATACTAAGAGCATTATGAATTGTTCTATTTAAATCTCGTAGCACTCCTATAAACAAATACTATGATTATCCTTGGTTAAAAGACGAATAAACTGGCATAGAGAAGTTAAGCATCTCGCCTAAGCACACTTGGCTCATGAATAGGGGAGTTGGGATTTGAACCCAGGTAGTCTAACTCCTAGGATCAAGTTTGATGATAAAGCTACCCCATAAACTTGCCAGTACAACCCTTGGACAAATTTAGCAATGTGAAGGATAGAGCGCAGGATGCGCGAGGAAGAGTACAGGATGCATCACACGCTCAGAAGAGACAGTACCTCTAACATCCGCATCAGGACATCTCTCCCGTTGCCACTCTCCTGCTCACTCTTGGAGCGGATGCAATCTACCAGGTTAAGCAGGAGCTTGCAGGACATGGTCTGGATGCTGCTGGGCAGGGACTCGTCGTCAATGTTCTTGGCAAAGAGCTGGACGGCTAGGGAGAGGTCACTGAGGGGCAGGTGCTGACGAACATGGTGCACGAGGTCGGCCAGCGTGCTGTAGGCAAGGGGCCTGTGGGCAGAGACCCCACCCCAATGCTCATTACCACATAGCCACGCTTACAGGTCACTAATTCTGTCGCTCTCTGTCCCAGAACCACCACTGGGACGGCACAGCTATCTGGGATACATCTTATATGGTCCCTGTTTCTCCCATGTTACTCTCTCCTGATACATAACCAAAAGGCTCAAGTCTTGTCCTGATGCTGAAACCATTATTTTCCAAGTTAAAAGGTTAACTTTGAGCATGTCAAAGTTTCTAACAGACAGTGGCACATACAGGTAAACTGAGGAAAATATTACCAGCTCTGGGTTTTGTTGCTCAAAAATAAATACTGTATGTCAGCGAATACCTTGTATATTAGACAATTTTATAGCAATACAATAAAAATGCCTAGGCTATTAGTGACAAAAGTGAACCCCTGCCTTCATGAAGCTTATTTATAGCAGAAGAACACAAAAGTAAAGAAACAAATTAAACAAACTGGTAAGTGCTGGGGGAGATGTGAAAAATGGTATGTGAGAAAGGTCAGTGAGGAAACTACTCTTAGAGCGCAGGGAAAGTCCCTTTGAGATGTCCCTTTGAGGAGATGCTGAAGCTAAGACCTTAAGGAGAAAAACGGGCCCATATGGCAGAAATCCAGGGAAATTTCAAGATGGAGAAAACGAGAAAGACAAAGGCCCTGAGATGAAAACTGCCTAAAGTAGCTAAGGAGCTATAGGGGTCAACATGGCTGCAGCAGGTCAAGAAGGGGAACTGCAGGGACCAGCACGGCTGCACCAAATCAGAGAAGAAAAAGCAGGGAGGAAAGAGCAACACAAGAAAAATGCAGGACAGGGGCAGAGTCAAATCACACAGGGACTCAGTGCTCAAGAGTTTGTGTTTTGCCTAAGGGCAACAAAAAAAACCACTGGGGGTTTCAAGCAAGAATAACATAATATAATGTCCAATTCCAGGCAGGTTCAACCCCAACTTGTAAAGAATATCTTAATGTTTTATAATAATATTTTATACAGAAAACAGTGAGAAGTCTCCATCATATTCAAAGAATCCTGCACGTTTTTTAAAAGATCCATCATACCTCCCATATTAGAAAGAAAAAAATCACTACTTTTTTTTTTTTTAAGTCAGAGTATTTCTCTGCCACCCAGGCTGGAATGCTGAGACAGAAGGATCTCCTGAGCCCAGCAGGTCGAGGCTGCATTGGCTGGGAACGTGTCACTGCACTCCAGCCTGGGTAACAAAATGAGACTCCAACTCAAAAAAGGAAAAAGAAACAGTAACCATTATCACAATTACAGTTTTTTGGTTTCTTTTTAAGTATAAGGGGAAAAAAAACTAGAAGAAAATACACCAAAATGTTAGCAATGTTACTTGATCTCCCTAGCAAGATCAAAAGATTTTCTTCCCTTCTTTCTTGGCAACTTACCAAATATTATTATAACAAAAAAAGATGCATTATATAGAAAGCAAGAAAAAAAAAAACCCTGATAAAGTCAGATAAAAGTTATTTTTTTTTGAGTTGGAGTCTCACACTGGCGCCCAGACTGGAGTGCAGTGGCCACTCCCGGCCACAGCAGTCTCGACATGCTGGGCTCCGGCGATCCTTCCACCTCAGCCTTCCAAGTAGCTGGAACTACAGGCACGAACTACCACGCCCAGCTAATTTTTTTGATTTACTGTAGAGATGAGGTTTCGGCAAGTTGCCCAGGCGGGTCTCAAACCTGCGGGCTCAGGCAATCCACTCACCTTGGCCTCCCAAAGCACGGGATTACAGGCTGAGCCACCAAGCCTGGCCCAGATAAAAGTTTTACCAACAATTTAAATCATAACAATTACTATGATTTCTTTCTTTAAGCTAATTGGCACAAAAAAGCAATCTAAGGCCTTTCCGAATATCCTACAATCTAAATCCAAGGAGTGATTCAAGGCCCAAGAGCCAGCATTTGTTAAAACACTCATAACAATAAGTGGCAATCACAGCTGCCCCTGGCATTTCACTAACCAGTTATCATTTGTTTAACCTCGTACCTTAGAGTCTCTCGAGCAGTATATCCTGAGCCAATTAGTATGGATTCATCAAACAGCTTGTCCATGCAAGGAATGAACTCTAAAAGACAAATATCCATTGCACAGATCACAAACAAGACCAATTAAATATTAAATTACTTCACAGTGCTTTCACAATAATCATTCTGCACTCTGTTATGCATTTAGGCCTAATAGTGGCAGAGAGACCAGGAAGGTGCACATGCCATAAGTCAGTCATGTTACCTGTTGTCAAATTCGGCATCGGAGAATGAACTAAGAATAAGTGTGCTTCCTAATCCCTGGCAGAGACTTCGCTCCCAATACTTTACTGAAGGCACATTCCACTGTCCTTAAACACTACCACCACCTACCCAACAGTCTGGAGAATGGGAAAGAATTTCCTAAATGTCCTTTTATCTACTGCCCCAAAGTCACATTTCTTAAAAGGTTTCATGGTTAGTGATTATGAGGACATGAGAATGTCTCTCCATATAAAGGACAAAGGTCTAAGAATTTTTACAGTGTTCTCACAGTCATGGTCCCAGGTTATGATTCCCGATTCCTTCACGCAGGGAATCTAGAATCTCCCTAGGGCTCTGCTCTTGCTCTAATCCTGCAGGTGGAACCATCCCTAAACTTTCTCTCTGCTCCCCTGCAGGCCTGAACCTAACCAGGGTTCTACAGAAACTGCTGGTCATCACTTGAGGACAAGTCATACTTCTAAGGATGTGCAGATAGGGCAGTGGCAGCATTTCTAATTTCCCTTGGGAAACTCCAGGTACAAACGCCCCAAAGGATATTTAGAGTCTGGAATAAGCCTAATATAAGACCAGATTCAACAAGTCAAACAAAGTACATTTTCACCAGCACTACTGATGGTCAGAGACATGAAAGAAATGTGTACACTAAAGGGACACAATGGACATCCCTGGGTAACTTCCATAGGAAGGCAGCACAGCGATTAATGCCAAACGTAAGCAGTAATGAGCAGTCCCTTCTGAGGTCAGAGGAAGCATCCTCAGAGAAGTGGCCAAGAGGAAGGGGAGACAGAAAAATGCAAAGGGCTCAGACACCAAATCATGGAAGACTGACTAAGGGATGAGTCTAAATTCATGTACAGGGAGAATTAAGAGAAATTAAATGGGAGGATCACTGGTTTCCAGATCCTCTCCAGGATCTAAAATTAGAATGTTTAAGAAAATGCAGAACTTGTTAAATAGTTGGGTTTTCTCAAACCACTGGCTCTTCAGAATTAATGCAAATGAGTTACTATTTGATACAATATCACATGCCAAAAAAAGTAAGACTAACAGAAAATGTTTTAGTGGATGTGGAAATTTTAACCATAACATACACTTATGGTTAAAATTTAACATGATTATTTAAATGTTTCTTTCAATCAAAATTTTTTTGAGATATGATGCTGTTACCTATTTAAGTCCCAGGAACTACTATGGGCCCCAAAACAAAGTGCCCAATAATATTTTGTCTAAAAATAAAAAAATTAAAAATTAAAAAAAAAACTCAAGCCAACCAGTAAAGAGTGTTAAAAATAATAATAATACCTCTTTCCCTAAGCGGCCTGAGGTGACTCGCCAGGATGGTCTGCTATTTGCTCAACCCGGAGAACCCCACGAAGTCGTGCAAGTCCCGAGGCTCCAATCTGTGCGTTCACTTCAAGAACACCCGAGAAACTGCGCAGGGCATGCACATACAAAAAGCCACCAAGTACCTGAAAGATGTCACCTTACAGAAACCGTGTGTGCCATTCCGCCGCTACAACGGTGGAGTTGGAAGGTGTGCCCAGGCCAAACAGTGGGGCTGGACACAGGGTCGGTGGCCCAAAAAGAGTGCTGAGTTTTTGCTGCACGTGCTTAAAAATGCAGAGAGTAATGCTGAGCTTAAGGGCTTAGATGTTGCTTCTCTGGTCATTGAGCATATCCAGGTGAACAAAGCCCCTAAGATGCGCCGCCGGACGTACCGGGCTCATGGTCGGATCAACGCTTACATGAGCTCCCCCTAGATTGTTCCTAAGCCAGAGGAGGAGGTTGCACAGAAGAAAAAGATATCCCAGAAGAAACTGAAGAAACAAAAACTTATGGCACAGGAATAAATTCAGCATGAAATAAATGCAGATAAAAATGAAAGAAAAAAAATAATAATAATAAATCAAAGACTCTAAAGCTGACTCCAACAAATCTAACATGATCAAACCTTCAAGAGTAGCACCTTGGGTACACAGCAATCTCAGCAAGCTAGAGTTAACACAGATTAAAACCAAGCCCTCTGCCTCAGATGGGGCCTGCTTGTGCAGTGTTGAGGAAAGGTGAACTGGTAAGGATGAGCAAGGTTTTTAATCCATCAGCAAGTGAACAAGCAGAAGCCTCCTGCTACACAGGTCCCCACCACACCTCTAAATCCTTCTTACTCACATGGCAGGAGTACTGGAAAGGTAATCTGACAGGGCACTTGGCCTAACTCATCCACTTCAGTAAAGAAATTACAAAATATGCCATTTTAACTTCTGTTCAGATATTGTTCGCAGATGAACACATAGGAAAAACCAGACAGCAAAGGAAAATCTTACTAAGCAGGTCACAGTTGTCACTTGGCTCTGGAGGTGAGCAGGGGCTATGAGCACTAGCAATGTCTACTCCTCAATCTGGGTGAGGTTCAGGCAGGTGATTTTCTGTAAGTTTTGGTGAAATTGTACATTTCTTTTGTGCACTTCACTATATGTGCTGAATTTCCCAAAAATGATTTTTTAAATGTCTATATTCTTTTCAGCTATTATCCACATGCAATAGTCACACTATAATTTTATCTCACTAGCACAAAAATACTTGCGTTTTACTGTATTAACACAAGCTGTACCTTTCCTCCCAAGTTCAAACACTATGTATAGAGGCCCAATCTCTGTTTCAATGTATACTCTGGTGGGAAATAAAATACTTCTTATGAAAAGTTACTGAGAAAAATGAGTATCATCTCTAAACAATTAGGATGTAACTTCAATCTAACATTTTGGACATATCAAAAATTAAAGTATTAAAAGATTATAAATCAGTATGATTGACAGAAAAATATAATCATGAGATAAGCAAAAAGCAAGTATCAGTCTTGTGTCTAAAAACAGAAGCAATTTGCCATTTTCACAACATGGAGAATAAAAAGTTTTTTGCTCACCTTTTAAAGATTGTTAGCTGTGAGTGCGTAAGCAAATGGCTATTTGGAATTTCTAAGATAATGCAGTCAAAGACAGAAAAGCACCAAGAGCTACTTAGAACAGAAACTATGCCAAGGAAATAATCACACTAATTATGAGACTGTTGAGAAGATAAAGGGAGAACCTGTAGCTAGGCAGAAAGAAAGAGGCAGGCAATCAGAGAGAGGAAGGCAGAGAGGAAGAGAAAAGCGAGGAAAGAACAAACCCAAGACAGTGATGAAGAAAGCAAGGACACATGGCCATTTAGCAGCACGACTGTGGAGGATCAGCTGAGTCCCCTAAAGACGGCAACAAGACTCATGCTAGCATTCAAGACAAGACAGGATGGACATACGGTTTCTCAGCTCTGTGGTGAGAATGTGTTTTGCAGCAATCAAAAGCTCCTTTCTGAGGTGTGCAGTCTCTGCTGGACAATTTGAAAGTAACTGCAGCATTCCTTTCACCATCTGCTGAGAGTACTTAGTCACCAACTCCTGTAAAAATAAGGAGTTAAATAACAGTTACACTGACAGGTAAGTGTTAAGAAAAGTCCAAATTTTATTAGCTTTTTAAACATTCAGTAAAACTAAATTTGACTCAAATGATCCTCATAAAGCCACAGACCTACTAAACAAATAATACCCAAAAAGTTTTAAGAGTTGAATGAGTATGTCTGTATATATACAATGACAAACTGGAAGGATGGATAGCACATAAATAGTAGTTTATTTTACACAGTGGGACTGCAGGTGTCTTCTTTGTACTTTTCTCTATGTTCTCAACTTTCAACAGTGAGTATGTATTATTTCACTATTGGGGGAAGGGAACAACTAAACACTGAAAGATTTCTTTAAAGTAAATTATGAGACGGTAGCTAGGCAGAGAGAGAGAGGCAGGCAATCAGAGAGAGAAGAAGGCAGACAGGCAGAGAAAAGGGAGGAAAGAATAAGCCCAAGACAGCGATGAAGAAAGCAAGGCCACATGGCCATTTAGCAGCACGACCGTGGAGTGTCAGCTGAGCCCCCTAAAGATGGCAACAGGAATCATGCTAGCACTCAAGATAAGACAGGCTGGAAAGATCACAACTATACATGAAAAGCAAAAAAGGAAACCACTGTATAGGCACCTTTTAAAAAGGATCCAAAACTTCCTGATCAGTTTTATTTGATAATGTCTTTTAAGTTTCAATCTTTCCATACCTCTTCGCCATAACACACAACTACTAACAGCAAAAGTCAAGGAATCAAACATGTCCACACAAAAATATGCATGCAGATGTTTATAGTGGCTTTACTTATAATGGCAACAATAAAAGAAGCAAATCCATAAAAACAAAGTACATTAGTGGTTGCAGGGACACACGCATAAAAGTGATTGCTGAACGGTACACGGTTTTTTCAAGGATGAAGAAATGGTTCTAAATTGGGTAGTGGTGATAGTGATATAAAAAACACTGAATTGTATGCTTAAAGAGGGTGAAATTTATGACAGGTAAAGTACATTTCAATGCATGTAAAAATTGGTTTTTGTTTGTTTGTTTGTTTTTGAGTTGGAGTCTCACTCTGTTGCCCAGACTGGAGTGCAGTGGCCGCTCCTGGCCACCGCAGCCTCAACCTGCTGGGCTCCGGTGATCCTTCCGCCTCAGCCTTCAGAGTAGCCGGAATTACAGGTGCGCATTACCTCGCCCGGCTAATTTTTTTATTTTATTGTAGAGATGAGGTCTTGCCTGTCCAGACGGGTCTCGAACCCATGGGCTCGGGCAATCCACTCACCTCAGCCTCCCAAAGGTGCGGGATTACAGGCTGAGCCACTGAGTCCGGATAAAATTGTTTATTAAAAAACTGGAAATGAGCCGGGCACGGTGGCTCAGCCTGTAATCCCGCGCCTTTGGGAGGCTGAGGTGAGTGGATTGCCTGAGCCCGCGGGTTTGAGACCCGCCTGGGCAACAAGACCTCATCTCTACAATAAATCAAAAAAATCAGCTGGGCGTAGTAGCGCATGCCTGTAATTCTGGTTACTTGGAAGGCTGATGCGGAAGGATCGCCGGAGCCCAGCAGGTCGAGGCTGCGGTGGCCGGGAGCGGCCACTGCACTCCAGTCTGGGCGACAGAGTGAGACTCCCAACTCAAAAAAAAAAAACTGGAAACGGCCGGGCTCTGTGGCTCAGTCTGTAATCCCAGCACTTTGGAAGACTGAGGCGAGTGGATTGCCTGAACCCGCAGGTTCGAGACCCGCCTGGGCAACTTGGCGAGACTTTATCTCTACAACAAAAATTAGCCGAGTATGGTAGCGCGTGCCTGTAGTTCCGGCTACTTGGAAGGCTAAGGTGGAAGGATCGCCAGAGCCCAGGAGGTCCAGGCTGCGGTGACCAGGAGCATGCCACTGCACCCCAGTCTGGGCAACAGAGTAAGACTCCAACTCAAAAAAAAAACAAAACCTGGAAACAATCCAAATGCTCACCAGCTGGTGAAAAAATAAACACACCATGATATACAGCCATACAATGAAATTCTACTGGACTGAACTGGGTTCCCCTAAAATCCCTACGTTAAAGCCCTAACCTCCCTGTGTGGCTGTATCTGGACAAAGGATCTTTAGGAGGTGATTAAAGTTTAGTAAGGTCATAAGGGTAGAACTCTAATCTGACAGGATCCTGGCCTTGTAAGAGAAGGAAGAGACAGCAATCACTCTCTCTTCTCACTATGTGAGAACACAGTAGGAAGGCAGCTATCTGTAAGCCAGGAAAAAAACCCTCATAAGAAATCAAAACAAGCTGGGCTCAGTGGCTCAGCCTGTAATTTCGCGCCTTTGGGAGGCTGAGGTGAGTGGATTGCCTGAGCCTGCGGGTTCAAGACCAGCCTGGGCAGCGAGACCTCATCTATACAATAAATCAAAAAATAAGCCGGGTGTGGTAGCACAAGCCTGTAGTTCCAGCTACTTGGAAGGCGGAGGTGGAAGGATTGCCGGAGCCCAGCAGGTTAAGGCTGCGGTGGCCGGAAGCAGCCACTGCACTCCAGTCTGGGCAACAGAGTGAGACTCCAACTCAAAAAAAAAAAAAAGAAATCAAAACCTTGATCTTGGATTTCCAGCCTCCAGAACTGTAAGAAAATAAACTGCTGTTGTTTAAGCCACCTAGTCTATGATACTCTCCTAAGGCTTCCAAGCACACAAAGACAACTACTCTGCAATAAAAACTAATGAACTACCAATAAAATAACAAGGATGAATCTCAGCATTAGTGCTAAGTGAAAGAAGACAGACTCAAAAGACTATATATACTGTACACTGCATACTTCCATTTATACGACATTCTGGAAAAGATATAACTATAGAGACAGAAAATAAATCAGTATTTGCCAGGGACTAGAGGTGGGAGGAAGACATTTTGATGTGCTGGTGATTAGTGACTATAACCATTTGTCAACTTATAGAACTGTAAATCTATAAAAGGTAAATTTTATTGTATGTAAATTTTATACCATAAACCAAGAACACTGGTAGAAACTTTTAATTTTTTTAATTAAAAAAAAAAAAAGAATTATATCTAGTAAACCTGACATAAAGCAAGTCAGTAACCTTACCTGGTAAATTCTGATGATATAAGCTAAAAATGACAATGTTTTAATCTGAGCAGCAATGAAGTCAGCATACAACTCCTTGTTGTAAAGCTTATGTTGCCTGAATGAGAAGTGAATAAAATGTACGATATTAGCACTCACTTTGGGTTAACGTTAGTATTAATAAAAAGGCCATAACAATTACTAAGCCCAAGATTATTTGACTTCTACACAGACCAGAAAAACACAGCAGTAACAGTAAATGCTTCTGTACTTTTATGCAGTTCCAAATTACATAAAGGACTTAAGGGCAACAAATCAAACAGTTCTCCAAACCATTCCATTGCAGTTACAATATGAATCCCATTAAACCAAAGCTA